AATAGACATTAAATAAGAACCGCAGTCTGTCAAATACAGATAGGCGTCTCAGTATATTGTGATGTTTGTTTATTTTAAACAACAGTTTATTAATTAATAATTTATTTAAACATTTATTTATTTTACAACCCTACTATTCTAATTTATATATATTTCGAATGTCTCTAAACTTTTCACGATTAATCTTCACTGTCCATATAATAAATAACACAGCGTTCACCTCCACCAATATTTATATACAAATTTAAAATTATGGTGAATGTTGTAGAATGTTCTTCGCCAAAACTAGAAACATTATCACGTTTTACCTGGAAAAGTCTCGGAAGCACCTCCGCCATAGTCGTCACAAAGGCCAAATAAGACAGAGAGGGACTTGGAGGGCTAGAGCATGACTGAATAATGAAATGGTTCACATAACAATATGAACGTTCAGTTAGAACCAGGAACGGGTCTAGTGCTGCTCGCAGATTTCTTCCCGATTTCTCTAGCCGTTGTTTCGGCAATTTAAACTGATAAATTTTCACAATAAACCTTCAGTTAAGTCATCATTTTCAATCACTTAGGCCTTCTGCACACGGAACTAATCGTCATAGACGCGTACTAGATTCATCCTGCAGCGACAATTCCTCTACGCCTACCCTTCTGCACAAGAAGCTTATCTTCATAGGCGCGTACAAAATTCGTCGGCAAGTGTGAACTTTGTATTTGCACTGTGAAGATGTCAAGTGATGAAGAGGACTTACTTTTGTTAATTATTTTTGGAATTGTAAGAAAAATAAGAAACGTAGGAAATTTTGGGTGGATCTCTATAACTACAAAAATTGTAATAACAGGTTATTTATTGCCGCCAAAGAGTTATCAAAAGATGACTCTAAATTCCAGACATTTTATAGAATGTGTAAAAATACATATAACGATCTGGTGTTAATTGTGGGTCCTGCCATGCAAAAGCATAGTAGTCCTTAAGGATATTCTTATAAAAACATTCATAATTTTTAATTAATTCAACAAATGTTATAGTTTCATAAGCCATTTTACAAAAAAACTTAAGGAAAGCGTGCTGATGAAACCGGGTTTTTATTCCACAATTTCAACACGTAGGTATTTGCATTTTTACACTTTTCTTCGATATGTCTAGTGGATTTTGTTTCTCTCCAATACTGGTAATTATAAACAAGCTATTTTCTGATACGAATATTAGTCCTTTATTATATTATACAACACTATACAGTTTTAACCTAATAACTAAACTATCGGTAGACCAGCTCACTTTCTTGGATCTGATACGAATTGTTAAATGTAAGTAGGGGAGAGCGCCCAACAATGGCCACCTTTTTTTTGTTTTCCAGATTATTGCATATGATAATTTAAATTACATAATATTTTTAAGTTACATACTTTGTCATGCCATAAAAAGAAGTATTGTATAGTTTTGGAATCTAAAAAATGTATATTTTTTTTGTTATTAATTTTTTTACAGTGGCCATGAACTAAGAATGTTACAATTTTGTATAATATTTTGTCAGAAATAAGCACAAACAGTATTAGAAGGCATATTGATTATATTTATTGAAAAATAATATTTAATACAAACTAAAGGATGATAAATCTATTGAAAAATAATAAAGGCTTTGAGTCCTTGCAGTTCCCCCTGAAGTGATTGGCGTTGGGAGATGCATGACTATGTCAGTAACGTGAACAATAGATTCGTCTCTGACGTCTGGATACGAAAATTTGTTTTCTTTACGCTTTCTCAGAAAATTGACAAGGAGTTCTTTATTTTTTAGAGTTTCGGTTACCTTTCCTATGCAATATTTCAGTTGCTTCTTAGTTGCAAATCTAACAAGCACAAAACTATCAACGGTAATTTCTTCTATCTTTTTTTCATTTTCATATTCAGGCAGGTTCATCCAATCTGCTTCATCGGAATCAGTTAAAACTAAGCTTTCGTCACTTTCATTACCGGAGCTGCTGCTGATGTTTAGGATTGGTTTATTATTGGATTTTTTTAAATCTGAATCTTTGTTCTGTTCTTCAGTGTCCTCTAAACCAATTTTTCTTTTTATTCCTACTGTTTTGTTAAGACTGTTTTGTCTGGCTTTCTTTTGAGTTTGTTCTTCCTTAATTTCTTTGTAGACCGGTGTGCTTGTCAAAATTTGGGTGGTTTTCTTTTTCCGTTTCTGTTTGTTTTCTGACACCTTTGTTGATTTTGGGTATGGTTCTATAATTTCAGGACCAATAAATTGCTTTGGGGGTGTTTTTTCCTCATTGCACTTGCTAGTAGATGGCTGTGGCTCTTGAATCAAGGAATTGTTGGTCAGGAGCGGAGGGTCTTGAGTCAAGTCATTAAGAGATATATCCGTTACGGTTGACGCTATAAAATCATTATCAACAAATATATTTTCATCAAAGGGAAATATTCCTGTTGATTTGAATGCAGATACGCAATTCTTAGAAGAAAATGCAATATTATATATCTGTCCTAAAATTTCTGCAACGTCATATATTGTAATGCGCTGCCCTGGATGATTTGTAAGCCAGGTTTTACATGCATTATTATAATGTGTTTTTAACGGACCATAAACGGTTCTATCCAGGGGCTGGAGCTTATGACTGGGGGAAGTGTTAGTAAAACCACATTACTTTGTTTAGCCAGTTCTATTGCCTCCAAAGAAATATGGCTATTATGGTTGTCCATAATTAGGAGGATTGGACAATTTTCAGTTGGATGAGTGTAAGAAATAAAGTGTCTGAGCCATTGCAAAAATATTTCTGAGGTAATCCAACCTGAAGGTGACGCTGCTCCAATACATCCATTTGGGCCCCCTTTGAGCATGTGCTCTTTAAAATATTTCCTTGGGAAAATTAATAAAGGAGGAACCGAGTTGCCATCTGCATTAATGGCCCCACATAAAGTAATCAATGTGCCCCTTTCCGCTGACGTTATTTGACCTACTTGCCTTTGACCTTTCATGGCCACTACTTTTCCAGAATCTTGAACTGTCGTAAGCGCAGTTTCGTCCATGTTATAAATGTTGCCTGATCGAAATGTGTATTTATTTAATACCTGCTTTAAATTTTCAAAAAATTTTCCTACAACAACCTTATTGAATCCCATAGCCCGTCCTAGTGAGGTCGACTCCTCAGTCCTAATTGAGAGAGGGTTTCTTCTTAAGAAACAGGTTAACCATCTTTTTCCAGCCATTTTATTTTCAGTCCACAAAGAAGGACATTGCTTATTATTAGCAACTGCCAATTCGTAAGCCAATGATCGAACATTTTTTGGAGTAAGGCCGTGGTGCAGTTGTGCAGAAACCTGCAAATAATTGCACAACTGCTGTTCTTCTTCCAATGAAAATATTTTTCTAACAGTATAATTTGGTGTTAAACCAGTAGCTATGTTTTCCACTTCGACATTCTTAAATTTTGCAACATATCTTCTTAAAGTGGTTCTAGGTATAGAATGGCGCATTGAAGCAGCCTTAACTGATAAACCATTATTTTTTATATCATCAAGCGCGTTTTTCATCGACTGTGCTGCGGTTTTTCTAATACCAATTGTCTTTGGCTTTGGACGAGGCATTTTTCTGAAATAGAAAAATAGCCGTTGATATTTTTTTTATTTATTCAGACGTGACCAACAGTGGCCACCAAAAAAAGCAGTGGCCACTGTATGTCACTTAAGGCATGGCCACTGTAGGAAATTTACCGTTATAAAAACAAAATATAACCTCGGAAAAATCGTGCATAAATACGATGGTATGTATCGTTGAATCTCATCCCAAATATTATATTTAAAAGCAGGATACAAAAATATATTTAAAACTTACCAAGGTAACAATAGATAACAATCAAAATATATCACAAAAAAAAACTTTACTGATAAACAACGTCCTACGTACCTGGCGTAGCGATTGCAATAAACTAAACTGAGAATATCTTGATTCTCAAGGTTAGGCGATGCATTTCGTTAATTTTTGGATAGATGGCATTTCTCTTCAAGTCCTGTAAATATTAAAAATTTCATGTGGCCACTGTACCTTACCTGGCCACTGTAAGTCGCCCTCCCCTACTTACAAAAATGTTTCGACTTCAAATGACACAACACACAACACTTTTATTTTATTAAGTAACTTGAATCACTGAGATTCGTGGATGTGAAAAGAAATAGTTTGGAGTTAACGTTGGCCGTCCTTCCGGCTTAAAAGATGGAAATCGAATGAGCATCACCCGCTTACGCTAGAGAGGGTAGATAGAGTGATAGAGACAAAAACTGGTTTGGCGCGTGGTTAGCGAACGTTAGATATTTTATTATTTCAAAAACTCAAGAAGTCAATTTGCCGGCGCACAGGTCCGGCCTACCGATAATTATAAAAATAAATGGTTTGGACGTGTTCTGAACACGTGCTCTTCTCAGCTAAGCGTACTGAAAGCGACTGACACTGCTGTACGCCCGGCGTATTGCAGCTTGTATGCTTTGTCAAATCCACGAAGCTGTCGACTGTACATTTAATAACTGAAACCCAAGAGAGCAGCACAAAAGGGTGCAACTCCCATATTTTACATCTAATACGAGCCGATGACGAGAAGCTCCGTGTGCAGGAGGCCTTAGTTTATTAGCTGTTTGCGTATGAAGAGCGAAAAGTGATACTTTGCCGCTTGAGACAAAATGTTGCCGCGTGCCACGTGACCCGTAGCGGAGCGCGGCAATTTGTCGAAACCGACAACGAACTTTTCGTTTAAAGCAAACACAAGATTTTTTCTACGATCACATTGTTTTAAGAAATATATATAAAACTGAGAATTTATCATAACTAGTGTATAATGTATTTCCTATATCTACTTTGTTCATGAAAAAAGAAGTTGGTATTCAAAGTAATTGTTAACTTGGGTAATAAAAGAAAAAACATCAAACTAGGTAGAAATAACTTCAAAATCATTTATTAAAAAAAAATATGAATATATTATATCTAATTTATATTTCCTTTTCATATTTATAGGTGTGTACATGGGTTTGGATCCACATCTGGTTGTAACTGATGCTACATACGCCAAAAATATTTTTAGTAAAGATTTCTCAAGTTTCGTAGATCGTAATCTCTTTCACAGTGAAAATAATCCCCTTACTGTGAACATATTAACGCAAGGTGGAGAAGGCTGGAGAAAATCTAGGGTAAGTAACAGCAATTTCAACATATATTTATATTCGTATAAAACTGGTATCAATAGACTTCCATTGGATTTTTTAACATTAAAACAGTCTTATGCATTAAATATTGATATATCTAGAGCAGAAACACGTCTCACAAATTTCGTTGTCTATTGTGACAGGCTTCTGGCTTCACCTACTATGAATTAGGAAGTCTGTTTGGCCCTAAAGTGGTGAAATCAGAGAAAAGGTTGCTAAGGCGCCAGTTTTGTTAACTCAGTTTGCTAAGTGAAGTTGAAAATACCTCCAGGCGGTCATGCTAAAGGAATAGCCACTTAATGATAAAAGAAACTATTCTACCTCGCACCTTGTACCCTACGGTACCCTGAAATAAAACAGTTGAGAGCCGGTAATAAAGAAAAGAAATATAGGCATTATAAACAAAATATATTTACAAAAATAAAACTAAGAACATTATAAAAATTCAGGATACGGTGCTTGGTACCTCCGACACTCCTGATATGATAGAAAATAAATATCTACTTAAGAAATGTTTTAATTAATCAAATAAATTGTTAAAAAACTAAAGTTAAACAATAAAAAGAAAATATGAAATAACTAAGACAGCAATATTGGCACCCCTCCAGTATATTAGAAAATAATTTTCCCATCAAATACATTATTTAAATACAATAGTAAAACAATAAAAAGAAAATAATGTAAATGAAATAATTAAAACGGTAATACAGCACTTCCTGTATTTTAGAAAATAACTCTGCTATCAAATACATTGTTTAAACACAATAGTTAAATAAAAAAAGAAATAATATACATAAAATATTTAAAACAGAAATGCAGCACTCCCTGTATTTTAGTTAGTAACTTTTTTATCAAATAAATTGTTTAAACCCCATACTTAAACAATAAAAAGAAAACAAGAAAACAATGTATACAAAATAATTAAAATTTGCACATAAAGTCGCATTTTTTGCTCTGCATACGGCTTATATAAATGGTGTATCATCTGCATATTTATATGTCGTCTAAATTTGGAAATTAACAGTAAAGCAGTATCTTCTGCAAGCTAAAAATCAATTAAATTATAAACAAAACCATTCTCAAACCTGTACTAGTATAAAATCAGAGTAGCCTCCTCTGTACATGTCTTTGTCTATAATGCAGAATTTACACATAAAGTAGTATCTGCCCTCATCAAAATTTTGCGAAATTTGCACATTAAGTAGCATTTGCCGTTTTGCAGACGGATTTTATGAATGACTGCACCGGTAACACATAAAGTATTATCTTCTGTATATTTATTTGTCGTCTAAATGCAGAAATTTACACATAAAGTAGTATCTTCTGCAAGCTAAAAATCAGTTAAATTAAAATAAGAACATTATTTTCCTACCTTAGTTTTTACCCATATTTTTATAATCGCTGAAATGTGGTCGGTTTAATGATGTGAATCAGGCGACACAACAATTGGTAATGAGTAATGTAAACAGGCAGCGATAGAGAGTGACGTAAAATTTTAAATCTAAACATGTAAGTCAGCGGCGTAACATAGGTATACTACATGGTTATCTTTTTTTCTACTAACAAGGGTGTGAAGCATAATGGTAAAAAACAAGCAAAAATGGAGGTAATATAAAAATCAATAAGGGTCATTCTCCAGTAAACGGGATATTTGAGAACTAAAAAAATTTTTTTTTTTTTAAATTTTAATATTTTTTTATTTATACAACTTAATAGATATAACAACTTGATAGAATTATAAAACGCAGCGACAAATTTTACTTGTTTCGTTAAATATAGTCAATTTAAAAAAGATACTGTCAACGGAGATGATGCTAATGTACCTCGGAGTTGACGGAAACTCGTATTTTCTGCAATGATGCACTACAAAATGTATTGTAAATGCAGATATCTATTCTTTTAAAGTTTGTGTTAATTTTAAATAAAATACATGTCAATCGCATGTATTAAAATATTTTACTAGTAAATTAAGGCTGAGGCTTCGGAATGACTAATGCTTTTTACAGAAATGATACAAACCAATTGCATTTCTATAAACTTATAATCTTTATTCAAAAGTACTTAAAACACATAAAGGTAATTTCGTATCATTAAAATACTGAACATATAATAAAAATTAAACAAAACCCAAAGCAAAACTAACAAAAACACATTTTTTAAATATTTCTCGTAATTTCTTCTCTTAAAATAAGTTTGGTGAATATTTTTCAAAATCAAAATTAAAAGTGAACCATCATGAGTGCAAGATGGTTGAGGCAGTTGACACTCTATATCGGACCTGTCTATTTCAGACAGATCGTCAATATCGGGAAAGGTGAAAATATATGTATTACTTTTTCTTCTTAAAAGCCGTACTTGTACATCAGCGGTAACATCGAGAACAATAGCGACGTAGTATTTTATGGATTTCTTCCCAGGTAGTCTAACCAGTATGAAACTCATTTCCTTACGGTATGGACGATTTTACGGAATCTATTTCTGAATCTGAAGAATAGACCTCATGGTAATGAACTCGTGTATGTAAAGCAGAGCCAGAAGCTGTGATAAGGTTAAGAAAAATAAATTTAATTTAGTTGGTTACTAAAAGGTAAATATATTTATTAAATGATACCATCGCCTTGTTCTTCTGTCAAGTCTTTCAAATGGTAGGATGGCAATTGGTAGTTCAAGCATCTATTACCTAGTTTGCATTTGTAGCAACTTAAATTCCTAAAGTGGAACATGTTAGGTTCAGCCTGATTACGGATAACTTGTCGAACTTTCAAAGTGCTCTTGTATGTTGGAATGTTGTTAGGAATGTTATATTCATCGGCTGGGGAAATATATATAATTTTCACTTTTTGCAAATTACTTGACACTAACTCCATAAAAGCTTTCATATCTGGAATATCTTTATTCGTAGAAATTATTTTATCAGCCGTTCTCTTCACAGTGCCTCCAATGCCATCGGGCGCTCCTTTGACATTATCGGCTTCTATATAGTTCCATATTATAAATTTGGATCTACGTCAATTCATCGCCCGACAATTCATCGCGCAAAAATTCAGAGCCGACATTTCACCGCTACGACAATTCACCGCTACGACAATTCACCGCTACGACAATTCACCGCCACGACAATTTGTTGCCAGCCATTTTTTAGAATTCATTTTATGGTTTATTTTATTTTTTTTATTATAATCAAAATTTTATTTTATATATTTTTTAGTATAGGTAATAAAAAACAAGTAGGTATATTGAAAAAAAAATATATTATAAAAAATTGTAGTTGCTAGTTATTACATTTTAAATTGAATTAATATAATATATTAATATTAAATAATTTAGACTTGCATTCGAAAATTATGCGCATTTCCTCGAAGATATTCCATGGTATTACCAGCGTCGTAGGATTCTGTAAGTAGTTTTAAACGACGTGCAGAATCTTTGTAAATTTTTTTTTGAGTAATTTCATTACCTGCCACAATTTGCTCTATTTTCAATTTGTTAAGGCTTTCCTCCTTTTGTAAAGCCTTAATTACCCTCCAAATGTTGAGAAACAATTGAACTGAAACTCTTATGCCATCCTTCAACTGCATTATTGGTTCTAACAATTCCCTCTCTGGCTGCATTGTAACAATTCCAAGAAGATATAGGAAATTTTGGTAACCGTCTTCTTCCTCTTCTGTCTAATCTACCAATCCACGTGTCTTCAAAATAGTTTATTAAATCTGCTAAGTCCTCGTTTTCTGCATAGAATTCACTTTCCAATAATAAATCAAAAGCACTCTCTACATCGTCTTCAGGAACATAAGCAAGTGCAGCCAGAAGTCGCAAATTTGATGAAAACACTTCTTCATCCACATATCGCCTTTGAAATCAGGTATTCTGGATTTGTCTCCATATAGACTGAGAAAAATGAAAAAAGCATCCACGAATTTGAGTATTAGGGAATTCACTTCGTACCGCATTTATCGCTGCTTTTTCGAAATCCATTAAAAAAGATGTAGGGCAAAGTTCAGGTTTCAAATTTTTAATGCTGCATATAAACGTCTATAGCTTTTTTCTCTTTTATTCGGGAGAATTGCATATACTGTTGGAATGGTATTTAAATAGTTGACGCCATGGATTGTATATATTTGGGAAAACATATTAGGGGCTGTTGAAAAAGTTCCATCTCCGTACCAGTGTTCACACTTCAACATGTAGTCAAGATTTCTTGCTGTTGTAAACACTAATATTCGATCTTCTGATGGGCCGCTGTCGTACATTAAAAATACCTGACCACTGCTTGTCAGTGTATATTCCTGTGGAATAACTAATTGAAGCAGAGAATTTGGAATCGCAGGAATTCCTTCTGTCTTTTCCTTTTTTCGTTGAATAGTTCTTTTCATTGCACTCACTTGTGGTAATCTGGCTGCAACCGATGATGATAAACCCTCGGAAACCTTTGCAATGATTTGTTGAGAAGTGGAACCACTTTGTTCAGCTAAAACTTTCATTTTTTTAACAGCTCTTCTTACTTCGGCATCAGTACTATCTGACACATAATTATGTTCGGTACTCTTCACAATTTCATCGCCTATGGTATGAATGCAACCGGTACATCTCCATTTATGATATAGAGAACATTTCCAAATACCTTTTTCTCCAGAAATTTTTTCTCTAGAATGTGCATGGCCATTGTATAAAAGCATTTTGTGACCCCTTTCGCTGTCAACAAATTGTAACGGCATTTTCAAATTTTACAATGATGTAAACTCGTACAAAGACAATAGTATATTATGCAACGATCATGTAATGATGGTTATTAATACACGAGCATTAACCGGGATACGAAACGAGCCAAAGGCGAGTTTCGTATGGTTTATGCGAGTGTTTTAATAACCATTACATGAGAGTTGCATACGCTATTTTTTCTACACCCGATAAATAATCAAGACCTATAAATATTATATTTATATTGGTATTGAACACAATAACAGTAATTACTCGTATTTCTATAA